TTTGGGGTTAGTATACTGCCTTTCAGCACAGTGTGTGTGTGTTTGGGGTTAGTATACTGCCTTTCAGCACAGTGTGTGTGTGTGTGTTTGGGGTTAGTATACTACCTTTCAGCACCGTGTATGTTTTAGGAATACCTGGATATCAGAGAGCAGTCATGAATCAGGCTGTCGACAATGACCACAGCTCCCCCTTCCTGGGGCTGCACCAATATGTTGTTGTGGTACCACAGGACTCTGGTGCTGTTATCCAAATATGTCGCAGTGCACAGGAATGGCAGACGATCTCCCTGGAAAACCACCTGCCGAAGAGATGGTATTAGCTGCAGAATCGGCAGCTCCAGTGGTCCATCTATATCAAAGAGAGGATTCAGTAGTGTCAGTTTAACAGCATGCAGACCGGATCACCTTCTGACTGGCTGGTGGATCACTCAGCTGACCTTAACCTCCTGCTTGCAGCCTTTTCCCCAAAGCGCTGCCATTTCTCTTCCTTTGGTGGCGTGTCTGTGATCCCCTTTTGGAGATTATTACTGAAGCTGCTGCCACAGCTCTCCCAGAATTTGTTTCTCTCCTAAACGGAATTTTTTCAGAAAGTTCATCACAAACATACATCACTGAACATGTCCACCTGAGTACCAGAGCTTGCAATAAAGTGTAACAGCCCTTGTTAGTGTAAAATCCATCCCACCGCACAGAGGGGAGATACATTTCACATTTACCCATGACAGAAGGTGCTATTGATCTAACCTTCCCGACGCAGCATGCCTCACCTGGACATGCCCCAATATGTTTGTAAAACACTGGATTTGGCCAGTTTGCTGTGTGGAGGCACACACACAGGATGCCAGCTGGTCACTGTGCTCTGGCTGTAAGTTTTACCCTGCTGCCTTACCTACTGGCTGCAGTATGCCTGCCAGCAGACAGTCCCTGGGCATTGCCAGGACTCAGGCCTTGCACCGCTCCCCGCTCCGGCTGGCCAGCAGAGGGGCTTTCCTTGTGCTGCTGGGCCTCCTGGCCTCAGAGAGTGTGTCCCTGGAACATCGAGCCCAGAGCTGGGCAGATCCTCCCTGTACAGGTCCACTCCACACTGAGGTGGCTCACAGCCCTCCCTCCCTCCCTCACTCACAGTCTCCTCGAGGGAAACGTGTGGAGGGCACTGAGGGTCCAGGCCTTCCTCACACACAGCCCAGCTCCATCCCACAGCTTGTTTTAGGGAGGCCTGCCAAAGGGGCACTCTGCCAAGTGGTGCCAATAGTCTCCTGTGAGAATCATGTGGCACGATCCAGTCTCCTGTGGGATCCAGCCAGCAGGATCCAGTCTCCTGTGGGACCCAGCCAGCACGATCCAGTCTCCTATAGGACACAGCCAGCACGATCCAGTCTCCTTTAGGGCACAGCCAGCAGGATCCAGTCTCCTGTAGGACACAGCCAGCACGATCCAGTCTACTGGTGGATCCAGCCAGCAGGATCCAGTCTCCTATAGGACCCAACCAGCAGGATCCAGTCTACTGTGGGATCCAGCCAGCAGGATCCAGTCTCCTGTGGGACCCAGGCAGCAGGATCCAGTCTCCTGTAGGACCCAGCCAGCACGATCCAGTCTACTGGGGGATCCAGCCAGCACGATCCGGTCTCCTGGAGGAACTAGCCAGCAGGATCCAGTCTCCTGTATGACGCAGCCAGCAGGATCCAGTCTACTGTGGGATCCAGCCAGCAGGATCCAGTCTCCTGTATGACGCAGCCAGCAGGATCCAGTCTACAGTGGGACCCAGCCAGCAGGATCCAGTCTCCTGTATGACGCAGCCAGCAGGATCCAGTCTACTGTGGGATCCAGCCAGCACGATCCAGTCTCCTGTAGGACACAGCTAGCAGGATCCAGTCTCCTGTAGGACCCAGCCAGCAGGATCCAGTCTACTGTGAGGTCCAGCCAGCAGGATCCAGTCTACTGTAGGACCCAGCTAGCACGATCCAGTCTCATGTAGGACACAGCCAGCAGGATCTAGTCTCCTGTGGGACCCAGCCAGCATGATCCAGTCTCCTGTAGGACCCAGCCAGCAGGATCCAGTCTACTGTAGGCCACAGCCAGCATGATCCAGTCTCCTGTAGGACACAGCCAGCAGGATCCAGTCTACTGTGGGATCCAGCCAGCAGGATCCA